ACGTGCTTATGTTTGTATGTTTATTACAAAGAAATAGTTACAAAAAATGGCGCAATAATCATTGATTGTCAATTTCGTCTTTAAATACTACACCAAATACAAAAAAAATAGCACCATTAAATTTCTTGTAAAAAACTGGTTATTATGAAATTATTTTAAAATCTGTAAGTTCAACTGTTTGGTTTCCTATAGCGAACAAAATAAACTAACTTTTTCTTTTATATATATAGACTAGGGCAAGAGGAACTTAGTGGCTCTTTAACTGATTTTGTGTATTAAAACATTGTATTCAATATGTGCCAAAATTTTGAAAAATAAGGTAGAAAACATGGTTAGCTTGTATACCATAAACTTATAGTATCATTCATTATTATAGTAAAAATCTAGTGATGTGGACTTGGTTTTTCATACCAAAAGAAGGATTATGAAACTATTCTTTGCAGTTACAGCAAAATCTTTCTAAAGTGATTAAACAATTTGAATGCTGTCTAATCCTATATTATCCAGTGTCTAACACATACTTATGTTTCATTTAGTTTCTTTCAATGGACAATGAAACTAACAGGGGATCATTCCAAGATATTATCCATAATTTTTCAAATGAACAGAATTTTCTTCAGTCTTGTATCATCCATCAAACTCTGTGTTACACAAAAACCTAAAAACTAACCTAATATCGGGGCATGAGTTTTCTCCATTGTTAAATGTTTTGGGTAAATTCTACATTAAAACAAATATCTTGTTGTAATGCTTTCTAGTATTAGGTGATTACAAGTGGTTTGTTGCTATCCACATGCTGAAAGATTTATCTGACTAATTTTTTGAAATTTTAATATAAAATTATTTTATTAATAAGTTTAATTTTTACATCAACTATAAAAGAAGGGTCTTCCTGAAAACATTTCTAGTATGAATGTACAGGGTGTCCCTGCAGTCAGGACCCATAGGGAAAAATACACAATTTATTTATTGTTCAAATTTCATGCCATTAACAGCCATACACATATCAATTCTTGGTATACTGTGCCATCTGGGTATTTTCTTTCCTGAAATATCTACAACTGACATTAGAAATGTGTTTGCTTAACTTTAAATATATTATGTCTATTTTCCCTATGGGTCCAGATTTCTGGGACACCCTGTAATTCAAGAAAATATTTCTGATTATAACTTTAATATTTAATATTTGAGTAAATGCAAATTATATTATAAAACAAATATACCTATAATTCTATAAACAGACTTATTAGTCAAATAATTCTTCTTGTTTCCAAAAAGTTCTTTCCTTTACAACCATTCTACTAGAATGTTCTTTACGTAGGAGTTTTCTTAATTAACTAATATAGTAGAATAATGATAATAATGAAAAACACAATATTGTATCTGGCAGTTAAAAGTCAGCGAAAAAAAATCATTCAATGGCACAAAGTATCAGAAGACTTGAAATAAGAGAAACTAGTTTTGACATATTCAAAAGTTCATTAATCAAATGTCTGCCTGATTTCAACAACTCCCAAGGTCATTTAAGTGGCATTAAGATATTCAAAGTTCTGGAGTCATATAAGATATTCTACTAATTACACTAAAAATGTTTTTTATTGGAGTTTTTTTTTAATATATTCTATTGGACTGTTCACCATAGAAAAGTTGTCTTTAGAAAATATTCTGCAAGAATCTTCTTTATATAATAGTAATATTTAGGAAGTATTTTAGTAGAATATTCTTCATATAGAAATTGTCTTTAGGAAATATTCTAGTAAAACATTCTAATAAAACGAGTTGTATTCAAGAAACATCCTACTAGAATGTTCTGCACTTAGGAGTTGTCTATATTGGTGTTTTGTGAAAACTTCCATTGTATTTGAGAACACTTTTCATTTAGGGGTTGTTTTAAAGAAAATATGCTACTGAAATGTTCATCATAAAGGCATTGTTTTTAGATAATAATACACTACAAGTTTCTTTTTATACAGAAGTTGTCTCCATAAAACACTGTACTAAAACGATTCTTTATGTGGGAATTGTATTCAGGAAGTATTCCAGTAGAAGGTTCTTTATATAGGAATAATTTCTGTACAAAGTTACACTAGAATTTTCTTCATAGATGATTTGTTTTCAGAAGTTATTCTACTAAAAAATTATATTGATAGGAGTTTTCTTGAGAAAACATTCTATTAAACCTTTTTATGTAGAATTTGTCTTCAGCAAGTATTTTTCTAATTCCACTAGAATGTTATTTATATACGAGTTAACTTCAGAAAACTTACTATTAAAAATGACTGTTACATAGGAATTGTCTTCAAAAATTATTCCACTAGAATATTCTTTATACGTAGTTCACTTTAAAACATATTGTACTAGAATGTTCTTAATATAATATTTATCTTTAGAAAATATTCTACTAAAATGTTCTTTATATAAGACAGTACTTCATAAAACATTCTATAAAAATGTTCTTTATGAAGGTATTATATTCTGAAAAGTTTCTTCTGGAATGTTTTTCATATAGAAGTTATTTTTTGAAAATGTTCATAACACAGGAGATGTTTTCAGAAAATTTTGTACTAGAATGTCCTTCATATACGGGTTGTTTGAGAAAATATTATACTGGAAAGGTTCTCAAATCGAGGTTGTTTGGGAGATATTCTACTAGAAAGGTTCTCAAATCTAGGTTGTTTGGGGGATATTTTACTAGAAAGGTTCTCAAATCGAGGTTGTTTGGGAGATATTCTACTAGAAAGGTTCTCAAATCTAGGTTGTTTGGGGGATATTTTACTAGAAAGATTCTCAAATCGAGGTTGTTTGGGAGATATTCTATTAGAAAGGTTCTCAAATCTAGGTTGTTTGGGAGATATTCTATTAGAAAGGTTCTCAAATCGAGGTTGATTTAGGGGATATTTTACTAGAAGGTTCTTACTAATAGTAGGTTAGTTTGGGTAGATATTCTATAGAAGGTTCTTCTAATACTAGGTTGTTTGGGGATAT